ATATATATATATTTAAAATAAAAAAAACTGTAACAAGATCAACAGTTTAACTACATAAGCTTTTTTGGCCAATGTCATGAATATACACCATGCCTTTTTATAAGAATTTAAAGCTGGCATTTCTACAAATATCCACTTTTCAATGATCAGTTATGTACTATATAATTCAATACCTGAGTTTTTTACCAGTTAATCAGCTATTTACTATATAAACAATTTATATAATATATAAAAACAAAATAAAAAAATATCTGAAATAATAACAAAACAACTATTTATTTAATGCACTGTTTAAACTTTATTCAAAAGGAAACCCCAACATTAAACTCAGGAAATAAGAACAGTTATTTTTATCATTTATCTTTTTTGTTACCTTTTTTAAAAATGTAATATTCTGGTGCACATACAGAAACAAGCTTATCTAAAATCTTCTAGTCACAAAAGAGGAACACAAAAGGCGATTGCCATCAGGAATTGAGCAATCAAAGGCACGGCTATGTAATGCACACTCACAGGTTTCAGCTTGCTTTACACACTGGGTTTTTATAATCAGAGATATTATTTTAGCAGATGGGTTTACTTGAACTAATTTTTACTTAAACTAGGGCACATCTTAAAAAAGTTATATTAACTGAACTAAGTTAAATTGAACTAAATAATAAACCTTTCAAGCCCACATTTTGCATAAAAAACTGGAAAATTGTCATTAAGAGTCGGACAAACAGTCAGAAGAAAGAAAACTAGCTTTCAACTTCTAAAAAGTAATATTGACAAATAAAATGAACTCCTTCATGTAGAACTATGTAATGTAAACCAAAAAAAAAAAAAGCAAATGTAAAGCCCTATCTGTCCTTACAAGTCTTTATATTTAGCTGCCCATTAGTGCATTGAGGTTTGTGATTGGCTGGATCGTTGGCCTCCCACAGCTTCTGGAACTCCTGCTGATAGGGCCCCATGAGCTCCGGCTCCTCCGTAACCATGATGTTTTCTTTGTTGCTCTGGACTGCGGTTAGGGTCCAGTTAAGGGAGCCAGTGATCAGTTTCCTGCCGTCCACCAATGCAAACTTATGGTGCATATGAACAGCTGAGCTCATCTCATGCCTCACACAGATGCCTGTAACAGAGGTCAAAAACAGATCGGAAACTAGCAATTAGCTCCAAATCCTCTTGCAAATTAACAACAGATGCGATTTCGACATCTGTCAAACCCCTCCATGTGTGAATCATCTAGATCCTTTAAGTCTGCTCTAATGCATCATCACAGTCCGCAGTAGCCGGGTGTAACAGCTTGCAGAAGTTACAGCAGTGTGTACTGAAATAACAAAGGTTGAGCCAGACAGAACATGTGTGAGCTGTGTGGCTGTTGTTATCTATGTAAGAATGACAGTTTTTACTACCTGCAACAGTCGTGCAAGTTCTGACTATAAACCATTTCATAATGCATACCACAGAGTTGTGAGGACAGGCCCGTGCTAAATATAATGATAAGGTTTATGAAGTCAGTAAAAACCTTGAAAAATGAGGGAATTGTTTTTCTTTTTTTAAATTTTAGATTTTTTTTTAATTCTTAGAATTATTTTTAATGTTATTTTTTTATTCTTAGAATTGTATCAATTTGAAATTGAAATTTAATTAATGAAGATTAATAAAGTCTTACGTCACAGACATTATAGACATTTATTTATAGACAAAACATTTTTATAGACAAGAGTATTTAAAAAAAAAAACCCAACATTAAATTCTTAAATTCAGAAAATATGAAAATATTTATATATATA